AACTAACAAAACAACTCAATCCCTGAATTCAAAGGAAATTCACATCTTGTCATTTGTTTGTGGTTACTGTTGTCTCTTTTCAGGACCCAGAGATCTCTCCACCTTAATACTGTCCATTTTTGTATCTCTTCAGGAAGCAAATGATTTCTGGACACATTAATATTCAGTTGAGCCTCAAAATCCAGATCTTAGGAGGTCTGTTTCACAGTATTGAACAGCTCATATTTGTAAGCAGTTCAGCCAATAGATTCTGAAAAGCTAAAATATGCTTGTCAAGATAAAACCTAACTTCTTCGGCAGCCTTTCTTCATAATCCATGCCTTCACTAGGAACTGGAAGATTTTCAGAATAAAGATCCTGCCTGCTTCACATCAGAACACTTGGTTAATGTTCTACGCATTTCAGTCTAGAGAGACCAGTATTTTGAACATGCTGTGATTTACTGGTGAGTTATTTCATTAGTAAAACTGATTTTCATGCTCATCTCTTTATCCTCAAAAATGTTCAGGTCATTTCAATGACCCCCAACTACTGACATCTTCAACCTGATCCTGAAATGAATGCCTTTTTGTGTGAATGAGATGAACAGTTCAACTCTACATCCATCAGTTCATAAGTTTTCTTTGCTTCAGGTTGCCAAGTGGGGACATCGGTTTAGGGTATTTTATCCGTAGATTCCCACGAGGTGAAATACAGACAAGTTCAGAATTATAGATCTTTCCAAGCAAGGGATTAAAGAACAGAGATGAATCAAGGATGAAACCTCCAAAGGTGTGAGGTAAACTGTATGGAATGATCACAGGAGGTATAACTTTTGCAGCTGCAGCATTTCAGATAAGAGACTATAGGATGAGATTCCCATCCACCCATCCATCCATCGACCCAACCATTTTTCACATCTATATCCTTTATATAAATTTAAGACATGGTTAAATTGCAAATATAGAACTAAGTTTAATCCAAAGGTATCAGCTATAAAAAAAATCATATAAGAACATAAGAACTAGGAGCAGGAGTAGGCCATCTGGCCCCTCG